TAAGGGCTTCCCTGGTGGCGCAGTGGTTGAGAGTCCGCCTGCCGATGCAGGGGACACGGGTTCGTGCCCCAGTCCAGGAAGATCCCACATGCCGTGGAGCGGCTGGGCCCGTGAGCCATGGCCGCTGAGCCTGTGCTCCTCAACGGGAGAGGCCACAACAGTGAGAGGCCCGCGTACCGCAAAAAAAAAAAAAGCTGTTTTTAAAAAGGACAGTTAGCAACCCTTGTTGAAGAGGGAGTTATTTATGAGTCACCTAAAGCTATTTATGAGACACTACACCTAGTACCATAAGCTCACAGAGTGAAGCTTTGTTTAAGGACAAATTAGTTGACTTTAGTTAGAAGTTCAGTGGGGCCAGAGGTGGCCCAGAGCCCTTTCCTCCCTCATCCTCTCCTCCTACAAGTATGAGGAACTCTGCACCTTCCCAGCTGACTCTCCTCTACATACAGCCTGCCTCCCTCCCCCATCCCAGCTGCTTTTCAGCCTCCTCTCTGAACTCATTCCTGTTCCCAACCACTACACATTGCTTTGTGTTCCCGGCTTTTTTTTTAAGGCATCATCAGTTAACCCAAAATATCAGCTATGACTTGCTTGACTGAGATACTCAAGTGACATCTTTGTCCTTATTTGGAAGTTGCTGTTAATTTGTACTCAAATTGGATAGTTCTCTTTACTGTCCATCTCACACTGTGTAAGTGTACATGACAAGCACCCAGCCTAGTGCCTTGCTTACAGCAGGCATCCTGTTTGCTGCACTAAAACTGGCTGTCTGGATCTATGCTCTTCCCTACTCTTCTCTTTAAGGATACACAAGTACTCATACCTATGAACTCTGTGTTAGACATGCAATGGTCCTAGGCATAAAGCATAATGGATCTCTGCTGGGAATACTTAGTGTAAACAACATTCTCAAGTGACTTCACTATTTGCTGCCTAGACAATCTGTATTTTGTTTATTTTATATATAGATATTTATATACACGCACATGTATTACATTACATATATGTCAATATATGTCTAAAATTATTTTCAGTAATACGGAGGAGACAGTGCTGATATTGTTTTCTGAGTATGTTTTATATATAACATAGGATAAAAATCAGGTATATATGTGTGTACATATGTATGTATATACATGTGCATGTATAGATAAGTATGTATATGTGTATACACACATACACACACACAAGGAGAGAAAAGGCGAGGGAGCAGGGAGAGAGAGAAGAGAATTTCCTAGTTTCATCCACTGAAGACATCTAGAAACAATGACCAAACCAGGAGCAAGGAGCATCTAGCACCCAGACTGGTGCTGAAATGTGATTTCCCACTCAAAGAAACCGTAACTTACTAGAGAAATGACCAATTCCAGGTCTGAGACAGGAAACGTACAAGATAAGCCTGGAATATCTTGTCACAGTATATAGCAGAGAAGTTATTGAGGACTGTTAAGATTGTGTTAAAAGGATTTGTAACCAACTTGAAGTGAGACCACAGCCCAAAGATGGAACAATTTAGAGCATCGGTAAAGATGATAACTGCAATGGACAGAAACATATCAAATATATTTAAATCTATGAGTTCAAAATTAGATATATTTTAAAAAACTATTTTTTTTTTTTACTGGTTACTTTTGGAAAATGGTTGGGAACCAACCTTATTTTGAAAACTTAAAAGTAAAAGCAAGAATTCAAGCATTTATCTTGCTTTTCCTACATGAACGTCACCACTGCATAAACAATATTAGCAAGATGAATATTTCTCTTTAGAGAATATAAATGAAGAAGGAATTATAGAATTGGAATACCACCATTTTGCAATAGTGAATTAAGACTCTAATTAATGAAGTAAAGATCTGAAGATTGCATATCAATGGTTGTTCACAAAATAAAGAGAATCAATTAGATACAGGTACTTCTTGGTAAGGAACACAATACCCTCTATGAAGTAATCTTCCCTCTAAAAATCAACCCTGAAACTGATTAAACCTCTAGATTCAATTACTAATAATCAGGAAATACAGAAGACAGGGAAACTGTTAAACTACATCATGGGAATGCAATCAACAAAATCCCAGTAAGGGGCTTCCCTGGTGGCACGGGGGTTAAGAATCTGCCTGCCAAGGCAGAGGACACGGATTCGAGCCCTGGTCCTGGAAGATTCCAAATGTTGTGGAGCAACTAAGCCTGTGGGCCACAACTACTGAGCCTGCGCTCTACAGCCCGCAAGCCACAGCTACTGATCCCGTGAGCCACAATTACTGAGGCCCGCGCACCTAGAGCCAGTGCTCCGCTACAAGAGAAGCCACCGCGATGAGAAGCCCATGCACCACAACAAAGAGTAGCTCCCACTTGCTTCAACTAAAGAAAGCCCGAGCGCAGCAAAGACCCAAAGCAGCCAAAAATAAAATAAATTAAAAAAAAAATCCCAGTAAGGACAACCATATGACAATGATCTGGTTTCTTCAACAGACAGTTAGCGAGGGATGGGTGGGAACAAAGGGAAGGAGGTGGAATCCATACATGAGAAGAAACCTAAAACACACACAAGCAGACAAAAGTTAAACTATGATTAGATTCAGAAAGACCTGTGCTGGAAACTTTGCTTTGCCTCTTACTGGCTGTGTGACCTCGGGCAAGGGAGCTAACCTCTCTGAGCCGCAAATGCCTTATGTGCATAATGGCGGGGGCTATTATTTACCTTACAGAGATATTATAGGAATTAAATGAAATAACCTGTAGAAAGTGCTTATTACCAGGCCTTACATACTAGATGTCTGCAGTACTTGTCAATTTCTCTGCTTCTCCTGTTGGCTAGCTGGAGTTGGCTAAGAACATCTGAGTCTCCACCTTGATTTCCTGGAACTTGTCTGCTCTCTCTCTCAGACACCCATAATGCATATCACTGGCCTCAGGCAAGTCACATCTGAGGCTATGCAACCCATTGTGGGTCTGTGCTTTCCTTGATTGGCTCTGTCCAATCCCTTGGGCTATACCAGAATGCTTCACTTTGTGAGGCTTAGGAAAACAAAAAGGACCAATATAGCTATTAGTACAGAATACACTTTATTCTGTTTTCCAATTCTATTTAGAAACAAACTCAAAAGTATGTTTCTATTTTAATGGCCTACATGGTGACACTCACCTTGGTTTGGGTCTACGATAAGAAGTAGAGTTATACAGTTGGGCAGTCACCATTTTCTGGCTATCTTCTACGGAAAAACACTGTGTGCTTTGGGGGATACACAGAAAAGATAGGCACTTTGCTCCCAAAAAAGTTCCCTGAGGGAGGTGGATATGTCAGTACTAATTACAGAATAAGGTGGAATGAATCATTAAATACTGCCTTCAGCTCCATGCTATGACCAACAGTGACAAATCCTAACCACTAGACCACTGGGAATCCATGCTATGACTGAAATGGAAGATTTCACGTGTGTGTGTGTGTGTGTGTGTTTGTATTCAAATCTTCCTAATATCCTTGTGTACTTCTCTATGCCCACTTTATAGATGAGGAGACTGAGGTACTAAATGGTAAAGTGACCTAAGGATGCAATACTAACAACTAGCAAAAGTGAAAATATATCTAGGTAAGGGATACCCAGAGCCTGTGTGGTTTCCACTAGACACACTATTCTCCAATTTTTCCCCAGCACAAACAGTGCATTTGTGGAAATGGATACTGTGTATGGAGGTAGAATTGGTTCGTTGGATCTGATGATGAAGAAGAGAAAGTCTCTCTGCTCAGACTCCTGAAGGCCGAATCCAGAAGACAGGCCCAGATGGATATCAAGATCAGATAAGCAGAAGAAGTCTGCAAACCCCAAGAAACATGCCAGTGTGCCTTGGCCCTTGGCCACCAGGAAAGGACCCTGAACTTCAGACAGAACTCTTGCCCCTATGCTGGCATCCGGCAGTGTCTGATCTCAGGTGACTCAAAAAGGGAAAAGAAGCTTAATTTCAATATTTAAAAGTATTTTTAAGAATTACACGAGGTAGGACTTCCCTGGTGGTGCAGTGGTTAAGAATCCGCCTGCCAATGCAGGGGACACAGGTTCGAGTCCTGGTCCGGGAAGATCCCACATGCTACGGAGCAGCTAAGCCCATGTGCCACAACTACTGAGCCTGCGCTCTAGAGCCCATGCACCACAACTACTGAGCCCACGTGCCACAACTACTGAAGCCCGTGCACCTAGAGCCTGTGCTACACAACAAGAGAAGCCACTGCAATGAGAAGCCCATGCACCACAATGAAGAGCCCCCGCTCGCTGCAACTAGAGAAAGCCCATGCACAGCAATGAAGACCCAACGCAGGGAGGGAGGGAGGAAGAAAAAGAATTACATGATGTAATAAATACAAGAAAATGAAAATAAGTAAACTAGTAACAACCACCAGTGAGACTACCATCTTTAGTTTCTAAGACACTGAACAGAAATTATTTTACAAAGATGGAAATACACTCTGCTTTTTACTTTTCTCACCAAACATATTTTGAACATCTTTCTAAATCAAATCTCAGAGCAGTATGCATTTTCTCTTTGCAGGATCTGACTAAGAAGCATGGAGCTGTAGGATCCCTGGCCATCAAAGAGTTGCCAGCAGTGACTGACCAGTAAAAATTAAGGCCTAGATGCTAATTCTGACTATAAGATTACCAGTCTTAGCAAAGAGAAAATACATGTGAACAGAAAAGTATTTGGATATTGAAGAGAAAAAGAGTTTTTAAAGAGAACTTTGGAGGCTATGAAGCAGCTAAGCAAGAGAAGAGAGAAGAAAAAAAAGTAGATTTTAAGAAGTAATATGGGTACAGATTGGCTCCCTTTTAAAAAATTTTTTATAGGCACAAGTAACAACTAGAATTGTATTTTAACTTCTTTTGGTTGTTGGATTTGAATTTTATTAACACTTGTAGACTCAACACAGAGAACCCTGCACAAATTTATAGTCATTTTCATACATATTTATTTTATCCTACTTAGGGTTTACTGAGCTTCTTGATCTGTGGATCGATGTATTTTATTTCATCAATTTGGAAAGTTCTCAGACATTATCAACTTAAATTTCCAGCCCCATTTTCTCTCTACTCTCCCTTCTGGGACTCCAATGATCTACTATGCTAGATCATTTGACACTGGCAGATACTGGATGCTCTGTTCCACCCCTTTTGCTCTTTTTCTCTCTGTCCTTCAGTTTGGAAACTTCCTATTGACTTATCTTCAAGTTCACTGAACTTTTCTTCATTCGTGTCTAATCTGATAAATTAGCCAACCTAATAAATCCTCCATTTCTAGACCATATATTTTTCATTTCTAGCATTTCCATTTGGTTCTTTTTATAGTTTTCAGGTCTCTGCTAAAATTCCTCAACTCTTCACACATGTTGTCCCATTTTCTTGCAGATTCTTTAGCATTTTTATCAGTTACTTAAACAGATCAAATTTTCTTGTTTCTTCTGGTCTTGTAATTTTTAAAAAATCATATGCCAGACATTTTGTATAAAAGACCAGTAAAAACAGAGGTAAACAGTACCATTTACCTCTAGGAAAGGGCCACTAGATCCCTTTCTTTTGTTAGGCCACTAAAGCAGGGATCTAAGTCAACTTGATCTATAATTGATCAGGGTCTGCATTTTGTAGCATTTGTAGTTTGGTTTACTTCATCACTAAATTCAAGTATTTAGAGGGTGGGGTGTGAACTTTGATAAAGATTTTGCTCAGAGTACTGGGACAAGATTCTGGAAATCTCTTTGCATTTTATAGCTGAGCTACCAGCTTGCGGAATCATGGACAATCTCTCCCTGCTTTACAAGCTGGCTACCACTTTTCTGGGTGGCTAACGAGTTCTCTTTGCTCTCTAGTCCCCTTGGCTCTGTCTGTGTAGAGAGATCCTTGCCTTGCTGCCTTGCACCCAGCCTTAAGAGGGCAGCTGCTTATACTCTGTAAAGACCTGGAATGCCTCCAAACGACTGCTCTCAGCTCTCCTGCGCTAATCCAGGTTATAGCTGAGTGTCAAGTACCTCAGTGGGGATGGTTCTCAGTGCTCCTGCCTGGCTCCTAATCTTTGGTGGACTACCCTGAGCGCTTGTGAAGACCTATGGTTTAGAGTTGAGGGGTAGGTGCTGACTCACTCACATACAGCCATTAAAAGCTCTTTAAAAGGTCAACTGATTTTTTCTTATCCCTGTCTGTGACAGATTTCTCTTCCTCCTGCTGCTCTACTGGAAATGAGAACAGTGTCCTATGAAGTTCCCTACTTTTTTAGAAAATAGAGTTCTTTGAGGTTTCCTTGCATCTTCAGCTCTCTAATGATTTTACACTATTATTCTGTTGCATATTCAGATTGTTTTGGTTATTAGGGTGAGAATAATGGTCTCTTTTGACTTTCTATATCCCTAACTGGGAGTGGAAAACCATGGTCATTTTTATTTCTTATTTTGTGAACAGCCAATTCCGGTTGTCTCCTAGTTCCCCACTGTTGTATTTTTCTTATCAATTTGTAAGAGCTCTCCATAGTGTAGTGGGTATAAATGTGCTCAATCATATTTTGGTATAAGAAATATCACCTTACTTTATTCTTTCTAAATAAAATTAAATCTGGCCCTGAGTCCTCCTCACTCTTCCTGTGAGATGGGAAGTCCACTATCAGACTTTAAAAGGGCTTCCTTTCTACTTCTTCATGGTATCACTTAAGAATACCAAGCTCACTGGAAATCAGAAAACCAGGAAATGGCCTGGTCTACAGCCCATGATGATTACCACTGTTGCTTCTTCAGTTGCATGATGTCACTGCTGTTCTAGGTGTAATTAAAGATGCTCTCCTGAGTGGTCCCATTCCATTGACTCCAGAGATGCTTGTGATGTTCTCAAAACTACAATGCTATGTCTAGCTTCCATGTGTGACCTGAAGCATCCTCACGTTCAGGGCACTGCATGCAAGTGGGGCATGGGTCCCAGATACTGTGCAGAAACTCCTAAACTACTTATCTCTCTTATTTGTCTGTGGTTAAATTTTATTTAACATTCTTACACTCTTTTTTCCTTTTTTTTTTTTCTTGTGGCCATGCCACGCAGCTTGCGGGATCTTAGTTCCCCAACCAGGGATTGAACCTGGGCCCTCAGCAGTGGAAGCACGGAGTCCTAGCCACTAGACCGCCAGGGAATTACCATCATTCTTACATTCTTAATGTTGTAATTTTTGCATTTTCACTTTTTCCCATAATTAGGCAAGCCATGGATTGATGATGATGATTAGGTCTTTTTAAAGAACAAAAAGTTCAGGTTTTAATTTTCTTTTATATTCCTATTTTATTAGAAATGTTTAACAGAATGGATGTTCAATTTCATCAAATGCCTTTTCAGCATCTATGGAGTTATCATAAATGGTTCCAAGGAGAAAAATCAGTAGTGATTACATTAATAGATTTCCTAATATTAAACTAAATATTAAGCCCTTAATAAACTCTGCTTCATCACAGAATGTTCTTTTAATATGATACTGTTTGCTACCATTTTACTTAAAGTATAGGCATTAATATTTGTGAGACTGATGTGCAGTCTTCATTTTTTGAATTATTTTTGTTGGGTCTTGATTTCACAGCTCATTTCATTAAAAGCTACATACAAGCTGTTCTTTTTCCATGCATATCCATCCATGACCCCTGAGAGACACTACTGAGCTGTTTAAACAAAGTACCTATACCTTAGTTTTGTTTGTTGCTCCTCATTGCAAATTGCTCTGTGCACTGTGAATTTTTTCTTCAAAGTTCAGATGAAAAATTAATGCCTGACCCTTTAATCCAGGAGTCAGTAAATTATGGCCTTTCCTTGGAACACAGACACACTCATTTGTTAAAGCACTGTCTATAATGGCATTGCTGAGTAGTTCAAACAGAGACACAGGACCCACAAGGCCTAAAATGTTACTGTCTACCCCTTTACAGAAAAACGTTGCCAACCCCTGCCTAATCCTTGATTCTTTTAAGGCATACACCAACTTTTTAATCTTTTCATGCCAGAGAAAAAGTACAAAAAGTATTGTTTTTCTAAAGTCCAGCCCAACGGAAAGAATGTCTTTAGGTCAAAACCTAAATCTTGGACCAGGCAGGCAGGCTTGGTCTCATCTCAGGTGAGGTTTCCTCAGAGTGGAAGAGGTCCCCTTCCACCCCCCAAGAAGTTCAAGACAATAATTGGGGGAGAAACTGTTCAATTCTTTGACTAAAGCAAACTAAAATATATCCTGCGTTTCTACAAGTTAAATACCATTAGTGGATAATTGAGCTGGTTGTAATATTTATAAGTTAAATACAGTATAGCTCCTTACTTCTGAAAGCAAAGTCTCCAGAGACATAGGATCCATCTTGCTGTAGACATTCCATAGATTCAAACTCACATCCTGCAACTGCAACACAAGGGGAAAAACACTGAAATAACTGAGTCAGTATCATTAGGATGATCAGAATTATTTCCTGACATTTAGAAATGACTATCTTGGTGAAAACTCAGTGATTAGAATAATAAATAAAAATTTTATACTATACTAGAACCTATACATATTAATAAATGTGTCCCATTCAAGGAAACTATCTGTTCAGAGACTTTGGTATATCTTCTGAATATCTTCAATGATGGGCATATATATATATTTATATACATATACACACAAAAATATTTTGTCTTTGTTTAGAATAAAATTTTAATTAAAATAATACATTCCTATAGTTTTAAAAAATCAAATACTAGTCCTAAAGGCTTGTAATAAAAAAATTTTAATCCCAACTCCAACCTTTCACAAACCTCCACTAGTCTTAATCCTCAGAGGCAACCACTTTCAAGTCTTTTAACATTTTCTTTTTGGTAATTACCTCCATATTTTGATATAAGCTTCTATCACTATTTCTTGATTTATCAATTTAGAAATTAAATACTGACTTATGGTAAAGATGTAGCTCTGCTACGCCTATCCCCATTCTCATACGTTTTCTCACATATACACCTTAACATTATCTAATATCATGACTTTTTTGGTTATACCAGTAGTTATTGTTTATAATATTAAGGATATATATAAATATATATATTAAAAAATATATAAAATTTACTGCAGGCCAAGTGCATACCATACTCATATTTGCTTTCTTAAACAAATTTTGTTTTTCCAAGAGCTACCAACAGCTTCATTCTTTTCACTTGTGTAATTTAAAAACTCAATCCTAAAATTTTTTCTACCTTTCCCACTTAATTTGCTAGTATGCTTACACTAGGGTTTCTCAATAGCAACACTACTGTCATTTTGGGCCAGTTATTTCTTTGTTGTGAGGGGCTGCCCTGTGCATTGCCTTGTGCAAAATCCCTGACCTCTACTCACTAGATGCCTACAACCCATCCCCCAGCCCCGGACCAGGCAAATCAAAAGCATGTCCAAATATTGCCAAGTGACCTGGGGGGAGGGGGAAGAAGGGACAGCAAAATCACCCCAATTGAGAACCACTGGCTTAAAGATATCAGATAATCTATCATTGCTTTTTCTTCTTGCTTTATTCTGGTATGCCTGTTATGTAAGCTTGCTGTGCAACTGCAACTTTCACTATGAGACTTCTCTTTGCTATCATCCTGGTGCTCTCACGTGATGGATCTGATTCCATGGCTTAATTTGTCTCCTGTTCCTTGGTTAACTTGTTTGCTGGAGAACATCCTCCAACAGCTTTCTAAGAAAAGATTAATGGGAGGAAATTTTTTTTAGTTTTAAAATGTCTTTATTCTGTCCTTACGACTAATTTGGCAATCACTGGTGCTCTTTCATTCTTCTGTATTCTTTAGTCTCTCTGTGCTTCATCTTGGATAGTTTCTACTGCTATGGCTTCAAATTCACTAATCTTTTCTTTGGCAGAGTCTAATTTACTGTTACTGCCATCCAGTATATTTTTTCATCTTAGATATTGCAATTTTCACTTCTAGAAGTTCAATCTGAGCCTTTTTTATATTTTCTGTTTCTGTTCAACACGTTCAGTCTTTCCTCTAGCTTCTTGAACATATGCAACAGTGAGAATAACTTTTAATGTCCTTGTCTGCTAATTCTAACATTTCTGTCAATGTTAGGTCAATTTTGATGGACTGATTACCTTATTATCAGTCATATTCCCACTTCTTTGTAAACTGATAATCTTTGGATGCCAGACACTGTGAATTTTACCTTGTTGGGTGCTAGATATTTTTGTATTCCTATAAATATTCTTGTGATTTGTTCTGGAATGCAGTTACTTGGAAACAGTTTGATCCTTTCAGTTCTTGCTTTTATAAATTGTTAGGAGGGTCCAGATTGGTGCTCAGACAGGGCTGATTATTCCCCACAGGAGAAAAAACCCTCCTGAGGACTCTATCCAATGCCCCTTGTGAATTATGCATTTTTCAAGTCAAACTGGTGGGAACAGGTACTATTCCCAGCTCTGAGCATGCATCAGGCACTGTTCTGGAATACTTTCAGATATTTTTTTCTTCCTCCACTTTCAGTAGTTACATCACACATGAACACATAGATCAACAGGCTGTTGAATACTTGGGATGTGGGGGTGGGGAGAAAGAGGAATCTTGGCAGATCTTGGGAGTTCTGTTTTGGAGCAAATATTTCCTCTTTAGTACTCTAGCCGTCTTGGTCTCACCAGACTCTCAGCTGCATCTACTCAGCTCAGGAAGTGCACTGGCATCGACCTGGGTACCCCCTTCCTGTGCCATGGCCTGGAAATTTTCTCAAAGTACAGTTGACCCTTGAATAAGGGGGTTTGGGGAACTGACCCTCTGTGCAGTCGAAAATCCATGTATAACTTATAGTCAGCCCTCTGTAAATGCAATTCTGCATCCATGGATTCCACCAACTGTGGATCGTGTAGTATTATAGTATTTACTACTGAAAAAAATCTGCATGTAAGTGGACCTATGCAGTTCAAACTCCTGTTGTTTAAGGGTCAACTGTAGTAAGCTAGGACATTCTTGGGGCTCACCTTGTTTATTTCTCTCTCTCAAGGCAATCACTATTCCTCATTGCCTGATGTCTAGTGTCTTGACAATCAATGCCTCACATGTTTTGTTTAATGTTTCTTTTGGTTGGGGAAGGAGAGAAATCAAGTTTCTGTTGTCTTATTGCATAAGATTTATTTTTTCTGATTTTTATGATATTCTTTAATCCTCAGTGTTCAAAAAAGGCATAGATAGATTTAAGGTTTTTCTACTCTCACTGATGCTTGCTAAAAGCTTTTATTTCTCTTTATCACTGGAAATGTTTACTCTTTTTTTTTTTAATTTCCTCCCTTCTGATATCTCTGCTCTATTTTTCTAGAACTCCTACTTAATGGCTATCAAACCTCATGGATAAGTTCTCTATGACTTTTAAGTTTTTTCTCATATTTTCTACCTCTTTTATTTCTAAACTTTCATATTTTGAGATTTTCCTAACTTTACCTCCCAACTTCTGTTAATTTTATCAATTATCATTTTCCAGAGCTCATATTTTCCTTATATTCATTTATCACAAAATAACACTTATTCTAATAAGTCACCAAATCTTACATTTCTCTGGGCATCCTAAGGAGAGTTTTGTATCTTAACTTTTCCTCTATATCATAAATCATCTTTGGTCTTAATCAATCAGAGTTTTAAAAAAATCTTGATCTTTTTCTTTCAAGTTACAGGTATTTAATCAAATGTATGGTGAGCTTCACTGCCTGTTTATATTTTCAAATGAAAAGGCTGATTGGATGCTTTCTGCTCTCAGCAGAGCTTGTCAACTACCAGGAAGTTTTATAGGGAGAGTAGACAGGCAGGAGGCAGTTATTATAGGATCTCTACTCCCTCATATGCTAAGTGTGAAAGTGTAGATAGAGAGCTTTACTCTCAGCCATCAAAAGCTACACTACCCAATGAGTTCTCTTTGTTTTGTTTTTCAGTTTCTATAGAGAAACCCCACCCATCCACTCACCTTGTTCCTTGTTTTTCCTAGTGTGGAGGTGGCAGTTGGTAAATGTCCGGTTGTTTATCACTTGGGAGGTGGGGAGGACGACACAGACTACTACATAACCTTCAGTTAATTCATTTTTGATGTCACCTATTTCCATTCTCTATCCTCCATTTTATTACCTTCTTCCTCACTGATTTAACCTACTTGGCTCCTTCCTCTGTACTGTGGAACAGGTTTACAGGTGTGTCAACTGATTAGATTTTTGAGGTACTGAATTGATTTCTATTTTTAAAATTTATTTATTTATATTGAAGTATAGTTGATGTGCAAAATCATGTAAGTTGCAAGTGTACAATATAGTGATTCACAATTATTAAAGCTTATACTGTGTTTATAGCTATTATAAAATATTGGCTATATTCCCTGTGCTGTACAATATATCCCTGTAGCTTATTTTATACATAATAGTTTGTACCTCTTATTCCCCTACCCCTAATATTGCTCCTCCCCACTTCCCTCTCCCCACTGGTAACGACTAGTTAGTTCTTTATATCTGTGAGTCTATTTCTTTTTCATTTTATTCACTAGTTTGTTGTATTTTTTTAGATTCCACATAAAATATCATATTTGTGTTTCTCTGACTTATTTCACTTAGCATACCATCCAAATCCATCCATGTTGTTGCAAATGGCAAGTTTTCATTCTTTTTTTATGGCTGAGCAGTATTCCATTGTATATATATACACCATATCTTCTTTATCCATTCATCTACTGATGAACACTTAGGTTGCATCCATATATTGGCAACTGTAAATAATGTTGCTGGGAACACTGGGGTGCATGTATCTTGCTGGGTTAGAGTTTTGGGGTTTTTTTTTTGAATGTATACCCAGGAGTGGAATTGCTGGGATATAAGATAGTTATATTTTTAGTTTTTTTTTTTTTTTTTTTTTTTGCTGTACGCGGGCCTCTCACTGTTGTGGCCTCTCCCGTTGCAGAGCACAGGCTCCGGACGCGCAGGCTCAGCGGCCATGGCTCACGGGCCCAGCCACTCCGCGGCATGTGGGATCTTCCCGGACCGGGGCACGAACCCGTGTCCCCCGCATCGGCAGGTGGACTCTCAACCACTGCGCCACCAGGGAAGCCCTATTTTTAGTTTTTTGAGGAACCTTCATACTGTTTTCCACAGTGGCTCTACCAATTTACATTTCCACCAACAGTGTATGATGGCTTCCCTTTTCTCCACATCCTTACCAACATTTATTTGTGTTCTTTTCTATGACAGTCATTCTGACAAATGTGAGGTGATATCTCATTGTGGTTTTGAGTTGCATTTCCCTGATGATAGTGATGTTGAGCATCTTTTCACATGCCTGTTGGCCATCTGCATGTCTTCTTTGGAGAAATGTCTGTTTACGACTTCTGCCCATTTTTTGATTGGGTTGTTTTTT